TTGTAAGATTCGACTGTCTTATCATCCTGAAGGATCTTTCCTACGAAGAGAAAAGAGCGAGGATTAGCCATGGCACCGTGGATGGAGAATTCGTGTCTCAAGGGAGAAAATACGAACCAGAGTAGATGACCTTCATGCGCTCTGCCTCATATTCACCTTTCTCTTGGGCAATTTTGACCTTGACCTCGTGAACCTAAACAGATGAGCCCCGCACTCCATGACGCTGGCTAGTTGTAGCGAAGGCAAACAAACGTACAGTCTCAGAAGGTTCGACATCGATGACAAACTTCTCCTGCTTCAGGTCCTGTGATCGATGGACTGTCAGCGGTCTGTGGCAATGGGGACCCCAATAGCAAGTTTTCGTACCTTGAAAGTGAGCTTCATTTTGCCGCTTCTTGGGTAAAACCAGGAAGAAAAGGGGCAGGGAGAAAAGGTGACGAATTGATAGAGGAGAAAGGGAGAGTAGTTGTTGCAAAGGATCCTCTCAGCGATGAAGTCGAAGAAAAGTCGAAGAGAAGGAAAAGAAAGTAGGAGGGGAGCATTGAAGAGTGACGATGATAGCAAACGAGTGCGGTGACCGCCTTCGGATCTCTTTCCACTACTCAACTACCAGCTTGACCATGACAACTAACTCCCTAGGGCAACTTTCAAAGGATCTGTTGATCTTAACGGGCTATTATTGTTCTTCTGTTGACTATCTTACTCTGCCTGTGGTGCACGTATGCACATAGAATAATTCAGGTCTACCAACCCCATTTGATTCCAAGCTGGTTGCCTGTTGGCCGCCTCGATGGCAACATTCCAGGCAGACATCGAGAGTCAGTAGGTTGGAGATGCAGATCTATGTCCCAACTTATTTCCAATGGCATTGAAGGCTTTTCTATCATGAATACTCGGCACTTTGAACTCCCTATATAACATAGTATTGCGCCACTATTGCCTCCCAAGTAAGTAGCACGGACGTTGTACATTGCACATATTGTACCCACACGGAAAAAGAGATACGTATGAAAAGTCCACAAAATACAAAAAATCTATCAAATACATTTGACAAATACTTAGTTGCATACGCCAGACCTCTTCCGGGAAGACATTAACCGAATCACCGGTAGACAATCCAACCTGTATACTCCATACTTCCTGCAGGATAGGACATGATATCCAGTCTGTGCCACTCTGAATACGGAGTAGGGATCTATAAAATCTAACAAAGTACAAATTTTGATTGGCTTAAACTCACAGACTACTTAGCTCGGTCTGATCCAACCGAGATCTAGGGGAACGCGGAGATTTTCTCTCGCAAGGGAGAGAGATACATCACATCCGGCCCGCACTATTGAGGTCGAGAGATGATCCGCCACCTCGACCGGGCAGCGGTGTCCACAAGACTGATGGATCAGATTAAATAGTGCCATTGTTAGTGAGACTAACCAAACTATCTTCTACTCTGCAGGACGGGTGTCTGGGCTGGCAGGGCCCTACCCCAGAATTAGGCGCGAATTACGGCAATTGCAAATATTCTACATACATTATGCATCTCCACCGGGATCTCTCTCCCTCAGCCAATCGACATAATCCTTGTCAAGCCAATTCCTATCTACAAAGTCTAACCATCATACTGGAATGATGGATCAGACTTGGAAAAAGAAATCGACAGGTTGAGACTGACTGCTTCCCCGATATACTTTGAGCCACAGTGAGATCCGCATCGCCCCGTCCCGTGTCGTGAACCCTCTGTGTCTACGGATGCCCGACTCATAAATACAGACATCTTCCCTCTCACGAAACCTGCAGATTCCTTACATTCATTTGGGTGCATTGGTAAACGTCTTGGATTGGCAGTCTGCCGCCATTGGACATATCCACTCTCTTACTCTCTTTTGGTATACTTCAAGGCCATTCTTTTGCCATGTCTTACCTATCTTACTCACTGGCGGCAGCCCCCTTGCTCGTAACATTCATTGTCACAATTCTTAATGGTATCTGCTATGCAACCTCGAAAACCTCGCCCGATGTGGCCTCCACTATTCTAAGTGCAGTGAGCTGCATGGCTTTGATTGCCCTCGGTCTGCTGTACCACCAAAATATTCAAACCGGCCGCCGACAATGGATCTGTTCTGCCGGCGGATATCTACTCATTGCCGCCGCAGCATCTGCCGGAGCAATGGCAATGAGTCCTCAAGCCTCGGTCTTTGTGGTTCGCTCTGTGTTCTGGGCAATATCAGTGTTTGCACAAGGCATTTACTGTGGATTCCTCGCGATGACACTAGCCCAGGAGAAATCGAATCCTCAATGGCCGCGTGCCTACTCCCAAGAGGTTCACTCCCAAGAGCTCAAGGGTATCCCACAAAGCCCTAATTTCCTCCCCTCACCCGTTCGAGTATGCGATTTGTCCGAGTTATTCGAGCCCAAAAAATCCTCACTCCGCAAATTCCCCAGACGGTCCAGCCGCTACTCGGATGCGACACTCTGTCCTACAAGCACGAAGGAAGAAAAGAACGCCTGCATGGACACAAGCTCCTCAGCCCGCACCTCACCAAGCCCATCCCCGACATTTGACAGGAGGCTAGACAGACTCCCAGACCGGGACAGTCGCCCTCTCCTCCGAGGCACCCACAGCATCCGCAGCATGCCCAGCCTACGCCGCAATCCAGCAACCGCACTCCCCTTAGACAGTCGAGTACATTCACCAATGCCCTCGCCGACAGCGTCAACAATCTGCATAGACTCCCCAACACAGCCCAGCTCGAACAACTCAACGTGGGAATATAACCCATTCGGCGAGGACAACATCCACCCTCTCTTCCGCTCAACAAGCCCCTGTCCATCCCCTACCTTCGCCCCGGGGACGATGGTCAAAGCCTCGCCGAGCGCGGGACAGACCATCACGGCGGGGACGATCACGCGCATGAGATCCGCCCGCTCCCTCCGCGACCAGGCCATGCGTACGCCCTCCCCGTTGCCTGGGTCGGAGTCGGAGGAGACTATCCGCCCGAGACCGAATCCAACTCGAGGTGGTTTTGTGCATTCGCATTTTGAGAAGAGATACGACTTGAACGAATCCCCTTATGAAAAGTGATTGATCTACCTCGGTACATCGTGATCTGCATGACTTACAATGTTTCCTTTTTTAGCTCTTTGATCTTTTTTGTACATGATGGTGGGATCTTTGGATATATTTGTGTATATAGGGAATGGATGGGTGGTATAATTGGATATTTTGAAATGAATTGTGTTTGCACATACTGAACGGGTGAAGGTCTATATATGTATTGGAATAGCTGTGTAGCAATGTCGCTTCAATTACCATTCTATTTTCTAATCGTGTCTTTGCACTCGATGATACCTGAAAGTGTCTCCTTACTCTTAAATTGACTTCCCAATGTTGGTTATACTAGACAACCCCGGAGTGTGGCGAAAAATGCATTCTATACGACCTCGGGATTGTTCTAGGTAGGAGCTAGGGATGACGTGGACGAGCACCTTCGAGGAAGACTCGACATTCTCTAATCCGTCATATTGAAATACTGCGCAGTATATTCCAACTGAAAATGTAATAATTATTAGAGCCAATAGCACTGAGAGTCTCCGTATAGAGTACGTTGCAATTCAACCGCAAGCGTTGCTGTCACCGACTCTTAGACGCAAGTGGGTCCGTATATTTTTTCCTGTAGGGGAAAGGGATATAGAAGATAGAAGATAGATTATTATGTAGAATATGAATATGTATATTGAAGATAACAAGGCTGAAGAGACAGACAATATCATACTATCTAGACACGTAGACTCCTGCCCAGGTGTTCACGTAGGCCAAATACTCCGGTATTTGTGCCCCGGAAGTGGCTGGGGGTCGGAGATACACATACATGATGTTTGTAGTATGTTGTATACACTCTATTGTTCCCAGGCAGAAGTGAATGAAATGTACAGTCTATTCAAGTTGAATGTATAATGTAAAGGTGTGCTATGCTATTGTTCTATTTCCGAGCCTCAGCCGAGTCACGGAAAAGTCGATCTCAATAGACGTAGACCACAGACCATAGACCAATAGACCAATAGACCAATGAACCAGGAATAAGAATGTATTAATGGATTTGAATCGAATTGAGACTGTTCTAAAGGATGTTATTTGTATAGATGAGTGTTATATATGGTAAAAGATCCAAGGTTCAGCTTCTCCCATAATCAACTTGTTTTGACCTTTTCCCTTTCTTTTCTACTCTCTCGACTCTTTTCTTTTCCCTTCTCATCTTCTCTTAACTTTCGCCCTTTTCTCTACTTTTCTATTTTCGACTCTTACTCATTTTGCCATATTCTGTTCTTTTTTGACTTCTACTCCTTCTGTTCTGTTTTTACACTTTCTACTGTTCTGTTCTCTCTTCCCCCCGTTTTTTTTACCCGTTTTCCCCATCCACCCGGTCAAATCCTGCAGTAGATCTCTGCTTTTTCTCTTTTACTTCGCATCTTTTTTCCCATATCCATCGCTTTGGTAAGTCATTTCATGGACCTTGAAGTTGGTTTTCCATTTCTTCCTTCTAATCTCCTACACTTTGTTTTTCCTATCTTGTTTGACTAAAAAACCCTGTCCCCTTGATCTTGGCCTTGAGGTTCTTTGTTCTTTGGACCTTTGGGACCTTTGGATCTTTGGATCTTTGGATCTTTGGATCTTCTTGATCTTCTTGATCTTCTGATCTTTAATCGCGTCTATAATCTCTACTTCGCGCTTTGCCAAGCCTTTTCTTTCCCACTGCTACCAACAGTGACGTTTCCTTTCTGCATTCTGCATTTGGCAACGCGACTTGTACTCTTTTTCCCTTTTTCTACTACCATTTCCCCCCTTGAACTGTACTGTCCTTGAAATTCTATTCTACCCTTGATGTATCCTACGTCTGATCTACTGTTCAATTTCCCCCCATCTCCCTGATTTCCCGCTCTTCCCCCCTTGCTGCTACTGGATCAATTTTCCCCGTTCAAAACTGATTTTCCCCAGACCAACAGCGATGGTGGGAAGAAGGAAAAACCGCGCGGCTGCACAGCCTGCTGCCAGGACTCCTAGTATTTCTACGCGTTCTGGGCGCACCGTACAAGGTAATTTCATACAGGTCTGCGCCATCGGTCCAATCTCTGATCTCATGTATAGATCCCATTCCAATTCCCACTACTACTCGTGGAAGAGGTCGAGGCCGAGGACGTGGTCGCGGCCGTGGCCGTGCTAGTCTTCCTGGTCATCTTCCTTCTAATGAACCACCGAGCGAACTTCTATCGCCGAGCAGACCAGAAGTTCGCTCGCACATCATCAAATTAAAATTTTCCTCATTCAAACTAATTCAACATGCCGATTCTGATGGTCCCCGTGATGGGGAAAATGAAAACGGAACCAGTGCGGTCTCACAAAACCCAGAGACCCCTCGCACTCGGCGTCCTCGGCACCCTCGGACTGTTCCTGAGTCTTCGCGGACCACCCGGCAGTCAGCAAGACTGAAGCCAGATGGAGATGGCGCCTTCGAAGAAGATGCCTCGCCAACCAAGGTCATTGATAATCAAACCACCCAGCCAGATGGAGATGGCGCCTTCGAAGAGGATGCCTCGCCAACCAAGGTCATTGATAATCAAACCACCCAGCCAGATGGAGATGGCGCCTTCAAAAAAGACGTCTCGCCAACCGAGATCGTTGATAATCAAACCACCCAGCCAGATGATGACGTGGAATCTCACCAGTATGATGAGGAATTCAAGTCTGAACCTCCATTTGAAAAGGTCTCTCAATTTTCTGACGATATCTCCGAGTCAGTTTCGCGCAAGCGGAAGTCACTCGAACTGCAAAATGGGACCCCGGATATTGATTCCGAGGATCTTATGAACAAAAAACCGCGGACTGATGAGACTGAAACATCTCCCGAGGACATTCCTATTCCTTCGGAAGAATTTGACCCCCCTGATTTCAACTCTACCGTTCGAGGAGGCCGTGGAGGTCGAGGAGCCCGCGGCGGCCGGGGTCGAGGACGTGGCCGGGGCCGTGGTCGTGGAGGCCGCGGTGGATTCGTCGGCCCAATTCGACCTACAGCAGTTACCAAGCCTCGAGGCGGTCGAGGACGTGGCCGTGCCAAGGCCACCATTATCAAACGCGGCAAGAAAATCGAAGACGAGATCTGGGACGTTGCCGAAAATTGGCGTGGTCCCACCCCATCGCCTACTCCAGAATCAATGCCGACAAAAACTCGCCAGGAGGAAATGTCTGTGCTTTTTAAGAAGGTTGGCCAAGCCCAGAGTATTGCGCTGAGTTTCATGGCCGATCAGACCATGCACAGGCTTGCTCGCGAGAAGAATGGACACAAAGAATGTCCTGAATTCGAACAAGTCCAGCGGGATCTGGACGAGTACGAACGCAAGGCAATTGAGAGACTGAACAACGAGTACAAGGTGAACATTGAAATGCAGACTCGGAAGCATGAGGCCAATATTCACATTATAAAAGATACTGCAAGGGTAAGTTTGAATCTAAGTTGTCTCATCACTAAATGATTCTAACTTGGAAACAGCTGCAGATCGAGGAAGTCCAAGAGGAGATGCTTACGATGCTTATGGGCAAGATGATGGCCCTGATCCAGGGCCGCAGGGTGGCCGAGGATGATGAACACACTGAGGTAAGTACTCTTGAAGACTTCCCAAAACGAATACGCAGCTAATCAGTCTCCAGTACGACACATCTGATTCAGATGAATCCGTGAAGCAATTCCTTTTCCGAGACGGCGAGACGGCGGTAAGACAAGTAGAGCGCGGATTTGCAGCCGAAGCAGTTCGAGACCCGGAGGGGGCAGTGGACTTTGTGGCAGCGGAGGAGGGATGGGAGGAATTCGTCCAGAGAGTACGGATGGGCCGCTTGAACGAGGAGATTGCACCAACAGAAATCACCGACGAAGATGCTCTACGAACCTACGCCAAGGATGCTTTCGGCAGCATGCTTCATGCAGCTACCTACATCCAGGAGCAAGAGGCGAGTGGAAAGGTCGTCGGCTACGATGGCACCGCTGATTTCCCCGTGCACCCACGGGCACTTTCCATTCTGGCAGACGCAGCTCTGACCGAGCCCGTGCCCCAACATCTTCCAATGATGCGAACCGACCCCAGCACCCACCACCGTGCTCTCCTCCCCCAGCCCACCCACGCCCACCCGGGCCCTCCTCCCTCCCTCCACGGCCACGGGCCAACCGACCCGCGGTCCTTCATCCTCCCACGGCCCACCCCCACCCAGCAGCCGCGGCGCCTTCTCCCCGCCCGCCAGCAGCTGGGTCTGGGGCTGGGCCTGCCCGACCCGTTCGCAATGAACGGGCCGCCGCAGCTGCCCCCACCCCCGGGATCCAACTTCGCGCGCCTGCCCCTGCCGGGCTACATGCCCCAGGGCCACGCGCCATCTCTGTACTTCCCCCCGCCGCCGCCCGGATCGCACCCCCCGCCTCCGCCGCGCGGGTACTAGACCCGCCGGCTTGTACCAAGATGTTTGTGTAGCGTTCCCCGCAGTTGATACCAATTCTACTTTTTGTATGTTTAGTTGCGATGCCCTCCCCCACGAGTGGGGATAGAGAGGGAGGGCGTCAGAATGAATAAATTTCTCGTTTGAATTGATTTTGTAATAGATGTCATGTGAGATGGAGAAAAACATTCATATGAGAATCGAGACCAATAAGATTCAAATTTAAAGTAAAAGTGAGCGACAAGTGAGGAGTGAGAGATATTCAGATGAAACCAAACAAATCGTTACGTGAGAGCCCTAATAAGAGAAGGCGCCAGAACAAATCCTTGACATGGAAGGAGCCTTTATCATCCTGCCATATCCCATCCTGTCACTTCCCCCGTCTCATATTCCGCCTCTTCTCACTTCTTTCACTTCTTTCACGTATTTTACCTCTTGAACCTGGGAACGGGTCAACGAGCGAGCACACTGAGTGTGTGGATAACCAAGACCAAGGTGAAGGTCACTGGTCCCCTTCGCATTTCATTCAACGCGCTATTTGACAGAGCGCCCAACGTTCCCGCAGGAAGGGATATATTCTTTTCCAAGCAACGCCTTCAGTCCATCGCTGAAGATATTTGGGAGGACCAGGGGATTTAGCGGGGACACCTGAGGCGATGACAAGGAAGTTCCTAGCTGCGCTAGTAGATGGCACAGCCTGCCACTGGAACGGCGACGACACCGGGAATATCACAGTGTGCCATTTCATCAGGCAGAGTCTCCGGAGGATGAGAAACTGGGTGGGCAGCTGCTGGCTGGCATCGACTCTGCGATCGTCCACGAGTTTTGACTGCCAAATCTCGCGTCTCGAGAGAACAAGTCTATCTGACAAGATCATTCCCTGAGATCCTCTCACCGGTGGTAAGTGTGAACACGTGTAAAAGTTCAAATCCTACATATAATATCTGTGAACAGCGTTTCCAGGGCGTCGTGGCTAAAGGGGACTCACGGACAATTCTTCTCTCTACAACATGCGGCCTGAGCTTTTCACGCCAGTTCCCATCAGTATCAATTCTCTCCTTGGCCGCGATTATACTCCATATGAAGAAATACAAATGGACCCACGAGTTGGGACGAGCGAGTCACTACGCGCTTTTCAATTGACTCCTTACTAAACTTGTGTGTCCTAGCCCTGAAATTCCCGTCGGGCCTTTATCGCACGTCAAGGAAGGAACCAGATTTCTTTCTTCGGACGATTCGAGACACTCTATCAACATTTGCCGCGTTCAGAGATTTGAACTTGGAAACAACCAGCATAGCCTTCGTCAAATACTGATACTGGGTAAGATCCATAACCTACCCATAGGCGTATAAACATTCTGTAAGATGGAAGTTTCATATGCTAACGCTTGAGATTATCTATCTGCCTCAGAAACGCAAAGATGACTAAAAGCAAGAAGAAAAGCCTCACGGTGGAGAGCATAACGGGCCCTACAATAAGGAACTCGGCAATTTGTTGCAACTGGGCGAGTGAGCTATACACTGTACAGAGGCTAAACACCGGATGCTGACGAAGCTGCGCATGTGGCTAACATCATGAATACTATCTTCTTGGAAAGCGATTAGTTAGAAGCATGCCTGTATCTGGTTCGGATCGGTCGACACTAATACTTTCGCCAGCCTTTCCAGAATGGCCTTCCCACTCAATTGCCTTTCCGCTAAGGTATTTCCGTCGTCGATATGGGGCTCCACATCACACCCGAAGCTTCTCGACGATACCCGGATCTGTAAAATAAGCTTGCTGCACGCCGGCCACCTCCTGAACATCTTGGCCTGGTCACGGCCGTCCTCACAAAAGCCAGGGCATCACACGCAACAAACAAGTCACGAAACTTCCGTACACTCAGCTCGCCTGGGAGGGATTCACGCAATAAGCACCGCTATACTCACCTAAGAGACAGACTAAGATGCTGAAAGCTGCAAGGTAGCAACAGACTACATTGGCCGTCGATGGTCGTCGAAGTGGGTGGCATACACAGAATCTAGGGCTCACCGCGAAGACCAGATCAGATTCTGGATCCAGCAGTCAAATAGGGAGGTGAAGGTCGCCGTGAGCATCTCGGTTCAGCCAAGAAAACCATGCAAAGCCGTTCTGGAACAATGGCACTTCACGCCTTCAACCAAGGAGACTCGCTCAGGGGACTTCGGGTCGGAAGAAAAAAAAACAAAACTCGGCATGGACACCGATACACTCAGGCTTGGATAGAACATGGCCGACTATCGCGCTCGAAGTTAGGTTCACAGAGACTCGCAGGAGTCTAGAAGAAGATGTTACATTCTGGTTAGCCGAAGCTTCGGAGGATGTCAACTGTCGAGATGTTCGAGCTTGGCACTGGAAGATGGGAAATCCATCTAAATCTCCTTTCCATTGCCAACAAATGGAAATCGTACGGAAGCCTGCCCCAGAAACGGAGGAAGTCACTGGAAGCCTCCAGATACTTTTCGAGGATGTATATCTTCGAGCAAAGCGAAACGGAGAGACTGACTGGATCCTGACCGCCTCTGACCTCGAGTACATCGCTAAACAGGCCTGGCGGCATCTTCCCTGAGTTTCTTTTTACCTTTCCATAACTTGATCGTTCAACGTGAAGGAAAACAAGTTGAGTTTGACTGGAATCACTAGAGTGCATCTGCGATTCAATGGGCAGCATTTTACAGTTGACTGCGAGCATGAGATCAAAACAATCACGGAAGGGGATCGCATCACCTTTACGTACGGCCTCTACGTAACCGAGCCGGTCAATTCCACCAAGCTTGATTGTTGACCCGCCTGCCGCTGTATAGCCTTTTGGAAGGAGTTGTCAAGGAGCGTGGCTTCATGGAAGAAGGTGCGTTTGCTATGTATGTGAAGTCATTCTAATATAGAGCATTCAACTAACTATCCTAAGGTGGTGCTTTACGGTTCTTTTGCTCTCACGCTTATCCTCGCGCATCTGATAAGGCTCTGGTGCTACTTCCAAGAGCACTCAAGGGGGTTGATCTTGTGCTCTACTCTATTTTCAGATCCCTTGGATTAGAAATTGAGCATGGATCTTCTCCCAATATGTAACTTGTGCCTCAAATTCATGCCATAGTTGTGTACCTTGATCGAAGGCAGTTCCAACCTTCTCATGATCTCGTAACGTGTACTAAGATGCGATAGCTCCGATTAGGACGTTTTGCAGTCCCTTGTAGCGATATAAAACCACAATCACCAATTCTAAAACCTCTTCGCATCTTCCACATCGCTGACCAATTGGTGTATTCGTACAAATAATACTTGGGGGGCCGGCTTTTCTGGATACTGCTTGGGAAATTCCTCGATCTTGTTTGGCGCATTCTTGGAGTTCTCAGCCGGGTAAGATGATAGATCCATATATAAGTTGATATAAAGAAAAGGGAGAAAAGGAAAAAAAGACATTTGAAGGTTGACGAAGAATGAGCATCATGTAGGAAGTATAAACATTGAAGGTATGTATGCATGGATGAGAAGCTTGACTATGTATGTCGGGTTGGCACGCTGTGGCATCAGCCATCCATGGATGTTCTAGCCAAGGTCTGTTTGCGTGGCTGTGTATGGCTATGACTGATATGTGGAATAAAGAATATAATAATGAATAACATGAAATGAAGGAGAATGAATGAAGTCGAATGAATCATCGTCAGGATGAGACAGAATGAGTCAGTAGAAATGAGGTAGCAGTACTTGAGATACCATACTGTACACTATAATGAAGAAAGTACCAGTACATTCTATCAACTCACTAACCTCGCCTCTGCGGCTCCGGCGGGGCAAACTCAGGCGACACTCTGATTGGTCCGAGCTTTTGATCTTTTTTCAGTTGAATCGCACGTCTCTGCCAATTTATTTATCTCGGGGCTTCATTCTGCAAATCCTAGACTCCATTCTTGATTTCTTAATTCCTTTGAGCACAGCTTCTGTTTCTGTTGCTCTTGCATCTGCTAGCTCCGCGCTTTTCGCTACCCCGCTCCACACCGCACGATTTTTCCCACCCTGCTCTCTGCAACTTCTTCTGATATTCTAACCATTATGGCTGTTCGCGCGCAATTCGAGAACTCAAATGAGTAAGATACTCCAAGCAAGAAACGTTTACGAACGTCCGGGACTCGAGCTGACGGTTTCCATTCAGGGTCGGCGTTTTCTCTTGCCTGACAAATGCCTACGCTATCGTTGCGGTTGGTGCCTCGGAGAACTTCTACAGGTGTGTCATTCAAACATTCAGAAGGGTGTGGGATTGGGACTTGGGACTGGCGTTGATAGGAATGGTGGGTGCTAAGGCATACCACCGCCAATGCCGTGCCATTCCAAATCTCAATCTCTACCCTCTACCCCAATACACCCGTCAACTACCCCAACTAACATAACACTAAAATGTAGTGTATTCGAATCCGAACTCCAAGATGTCATCCCCATCTGCCACGCAACCATCGCCGGAACCCGCATTGTCGGTCGTCTAATCGTCGGGTGAGTCGGACATAGCCAGTTCAAAACGAACAGCCCTTTTCCGCCAGGAAGGAAACATTTAGCAAGAAAACGCGAATGCTAATATCTTGCCCTCAGTAACCGCAAAGGTCTCCTCGTCCCAACAACCACCACAGACCAAGAATTGCAACACTTGCGCAACACGCTCCCGGCTGAAGTCAAAATCCAACGCATAGAAGAGCGCCTCTCCGCGCTCGGCAATGTTATTTGCTGCAACGATCACGTTGCAATCGTGCACCCCGATCTGGAGCGTGAGACTGAGGAGATGTGAGTAGTAATCCGGCGTCCACGACGACCGGAACACCCAACCTCACCGTTGCATTCCATCCCAAACTTTCTTCCTTACCTTTTTCCTTCCGAAACTGACATATCTCTTTTCACCCAGCATCGCCGACGTCCTCGGCGTAGAAGTCTTCCGCCAAACAGTAGCCGACAACGTCCTCACGGGCTCGTACATGGCCCTCTCGAACCAAGGTGGAATCGTGCACCCCAAGACCTCAATCCGCGACCAGGACGAGCTCTCCTCGCTCCTGCAAGTTCCCCTCGTGGCAGGCAGTGTGAACCGCGGCTCCCCGGTCGTAGGCGCCGGCATGGTCGTCAACGACTGGCTCGCTATCACCGGACTGGACACCACAGCCACGGAGCTGAGCGTTGTCGAGTCTGTGTTCAGACTTGGCGAGATGGCACCCGGTGGTGCCGGCGGGGCTGGTGTTAATAAGGATAGTATTGTGGAGAGTTTCTACTAGATTTGTTGTCTTTTAGATTGCACTT